AGAGGGGCGGGAACTGCCGTGCGTCCAGACGAAGTTAGCGGTTGGATTAACCGCGCGCGTTCTGGAGGCCCGCATCCTGCCATTTCGGACGTCTATTCCTTTGTGACGAGATGGTGGAAATGGTGGGAGACGATCAATCCGGTGTGGCGGAAGCGTACGGGAACGCCAGTGCGTTTAGAGCAGTGCGGGGATGGGGATTGGAGTTCCCTGGCGCACACCGGGCCCAACGGCCTTCTCAATGCGCTGATTTGTTTGCGGTGGTGGCGCGATGCTCTAAGGGGCAATTTGGACGTGCAGGGGTGGGAGGAGGCTGTGGGCGACGTGCGCTGGGTCCTACAGCGCGTTGTGTAAGTCAATACTCATTGGTGTGCTGGCGACGTACTGATAGAACGTTTGTTTAGACCGCCAGCAGCTAACGAAGCTAACGGGGCCCAGCCCAATGTATCGGAGGGTGGGTGATCGATTGGAACCGTACGACACCCAGCAAACGAAGGGCCGCAGTATTTCGCGAGGTAGCTATCTTGGACTGTGTCTTGAGGCGCGACGGAACGGCCAGCGCCCAGAATCTGGTGCATCCCACGACCAGATCCCGGTATGTTTTTTGAGAATGTAAAGACCACGTGTGTAAATATTATGAAGCCGCCGTGATTTGTGCACGTGCATTATTTCGCACGGGCACGGACCGCTGCTCACGGACCGATGCTCGGAGCAGCGGTCCGTACATCGGTTTTCCCCGGGGAAAAAAAAGTGGGGGAGATATTCGCGCAAAATCACAGTAGTAGTACTAAAGGATCCGTAAATCCATTTCCCCCCGGAGTGTATAAATTATAATGGTGGGAAAATGCATGTCATAAATGATGGCATGCACGTGCAGCCACGGACCAACCCGAAACCACATTTGTTCCCTATATTACAATGGTGGGAATATTTACGTCCATAAATGATCGCACGGAACCGTCCGAAATCTATTTTGCCCATATTACAATGGTGGGAATATGCACGTGTACCATCAAATGTGTGCCGAGGTCAGCCGAGGCTGTAGAACATCAATTCGATGGATCAGCCCATCAATCTGATGGTTCGTGCGCCCGGCACCACCATGCCGAGAAAGCCATCAGCTGCCTGAATTAAATAAAATTAAGCCAGGTGGCTATGTTAGAACAACCTGTACATTTTACAAAATGTTCCGTGGCCCAGCCATATACCTTTTACAAATACTTAACTATATGTGCTGCCACTCCAGCCGCGCCAGCCCGTGCGCCCATGTTGCCCACACTCGTAGTAGCTCCTGCCGCGCATGCATCCGCTGCGCCCAGGACGCGCACCCCGTGTGCACTCCCCACTCCAGCCGTGCCGACTCCTCCTGCGCCTGACAAGCTCGGTCTGTACACCACCGCCACTGCTCCAACCCCGCCTTCGTAGCCAGATCCATCCGTGAAAATACACGTACCTCCACGTGCCACAATTGCCTCCGTGTTCGCCCTCGCCTCGTCCTTCGAGCTTGCGATGTTTGTGGTAAGCAGCCCCACCGGTAGCGGCTCGAAGGCACGCTGGGGGTCTATCACTTTGAATTCCCTCTTGAAAATTGGGAAGGCTTCAAGGAGGTGGTGGATTTGGGACCTGTGGAGAATCAGTATTGGCCACCGCCATGAGTATCGAGCCGGACATTCGGCCGAGCGGACATCCAATAATCCCGGCCCCGAACAAACAGTACTTAGCAGAGAACAAACAAACACAGCCACTAACGAGTCAGAAACGATCTGACAATTTAGTGGCGGTGCTTAAAAAGCGTTTCAACACAGCCACTAATTTTGCTTCCACGTTTTTTGCAACAAGGAAAATAGCGCGCGTTTCGAGGTCCCCTCAATCGATTCGAAAAGAACGAATTTTAAGCATAAATATTCGTAATATATTGATGGGGTAATAAAATGATCTCCGAGGTGGAGGCAAGGTGGAGGAGAGAGCGCGTTTGGCTCTCAAATAACGCATGTATTACAACAATAGGCGGTACACTATAAGTAAGTAATCCGGTGATTATAAGCCATCCTACTAGCAAAGCGCAATATCGCCTCCACCACGATATATATCCAGAGTCACCAGCCCCGGGGTCACGGGCAAACGCATAACGGCGCTCACAGAGCAGCGCCCCCCTCTCCGAGCTTAATCCCGCCAGAACGCCACCACCCCCACGCGCCCAAGCCGAGCACGAAGTTGAAAATGCCGACAAGCGCGTTGCCCGCGCCGAGCAGCGCGAGAAGCCACCAGATGCGCCCGATGAAGCGGTCAAGCGCGCGACCCGTGTAGCGCTTGCGCGTCGCGGCGGGGTCGGGAGAGGGCGCGTAGGAGGGCGGGAGGCGGAGGGTTGGGGGCGTCGCGGAGGTGTCGGGCGAAGACGGGGATGATGAAGTTTCGGGGAGCAGGAGGAGGGCGACGATGGGTTTCTGCGGATATGTCAATTAAAAAGGTAGTGGGGGAATGATTAGCGGGACGGAGAGGAAGAAACGGGGTGTTTGAGAGGGAAGAGAAGAAGGGGAACGGAGCGTACATGGTCGGAGGTGGTGTACCCGGGGACGGAGGTGTAGAGGAGGTTCTTGATCGCGGACGCGTCCGGCATATCGGGCGAGTCGGTGTATGTCGTGTACAGGATGCGGTCCGTCCACGACGGCGTGCGCTTTTCGCTGTACTTGTCCACCTCCCCAAGATGATACTTGTAACTGCACTTGAAACGCCAGAATTCGCCCTCGCGCAGGCCGACGAATGCTTTCCCTTTTGTCGCGGGGTCGCGCCGTACGCACAACAGTTGGTCGTGTTCCTTGAGCGCCTCGCGGGCGTCGTGGTTCGATAAGGCGGCTCCCAGCTCTGCCGACGCGCCTGCGAGAGGGTGTTCCGGAGGCAGCACCAGGCGGAAGTTGAGGTCACCGAGGAGAAAGAGGTGCGACGTCGTATAGAGCGTAGTAGGCTCAACTCCCTTCTGCCCCGAGGGAAAAAGCAGTGTCCCGACGATGTGCTGCCAGTCCGCTAGCCGCTCGGCGAGCTTAGGTGCGTGTGCGGTAAGGTGCGCACAGACAAAGCTGTAGAGTAGGACTTTTTGTATCTCTCGAGCGAAGGATTTGGAATGGGACACCTACGTGAACGTCTCCCCCACCGCGCTTCCCTCACCAGGTACGCGAAACCGAACACCCACCGCGCCCTTGTTGCCCATGTACCCCGGCCCAGTGCCCGTCCAGCTAGTCTGCACGTCGCAAGCGGTGCGCGCGACACCCGCATCCCGAGCGTACACCAGCAGCGCGACACCTCCGTTCACAATGCTAGCAATCAGTGCATAGCGCTCCTTATTGAGAGCATTGGCCTCGATCTGCTCGAGAATGTGTGCGGAGCGATTGGCGAGGACTTTTTGAGAGAGGCCAGAGACTAGAAAGCAAGCAGAGTCTCAGCGTATGAAACTGAATGTAGACGCCGACGCACGGCCAAGATGCAGGGGTAATAGCTCCTGAAAACCAACTGCAATAATATCTGCGGGCGGCTGGTGGGAGAGAAACGACGAGACTTGAAGCGTCGGGCTCAACCACGATATTAAATCTTGAGGGAGGCCGTTGTCGCCCTGAAGATTGGTGTTGTACGAAGCGATCTGAACAAGGAGCGACATGGTATATGTGCGTGTATTCTATTGACACCAATGTACATGACCCTATGCAGCATGTCTACGGGACTCTGGGCCTATAGATAACAGGACTACCTATGCCTTGGGTCCCTGTGAGATACCCAGATCCCGCAGCTCGCCCTTGGCAAGGTCGTACACCCAGCCGTGCACCCACACATCCTTGCCCTTCTTGCTCTTATTCTTCCACGCATCGACGACCGTTTGCGCCTGGCACAGGTTCGCAACCTGCAGCTTGACGTTCTCTTCGACGATAACCTCCAGCGCTTCCGATTTTGGCACGCTCGAGAGTTTGAGCGAGGCAACGAGCTTGGTGAGCGGCGTGAGCCATTGATTCAGCGCCGCGTCAGGGGCGAGGCTCGGGTCGATGACACAGCAGTCGGCGTTTGGGGAGAACGCGGGAGAACACGCTGCACCGAAACATGCCGCGGCGCCGCCGCACTCTGTGTGCCCGACGACGACGACTGCAGAGGAAAGCAAGGTTGGGATGCGGCTACATCGGAGGAGAAAGAAAGAAAGCACCGTGTTCGACGCCGAGGTGGTCCAGCGCGTAGGTGAGCACGGACTGGACGCTGTTATCGTCGAGCTGGAACTGGCTGGAAGTAAATAGATGTGAGTGATGGGTCTCATCTAGTACGCTCTCGACTCACTTTGCGATGTTCCGGTGGACAAAGATCTCGCCTGGGCGCACTGCGGTGACGACCGACTCGGGGACCCGCGAGTCAGAGCAGCCTATCCAGAGGACCTGGTGGAGTATAAGTAATGTATTTCTCACCAGCCGATCGAACTGGCGCACCTGCGGTTTCTGCCCCGTCGCCGACTCTGCGAAGAAACCTGGCTCCTGGGACTCGACGCGGCGGGCCCACTCTGAGTTGAGGGCAAAGAAGCGGTAGAGGGCGGGGTGGGGGGACATTGTGGACGGAGAAGATGGTGGTGGATGGAGAGAGAGAGCCAGTCAGTCCCTATAAGTGCGGATTGAGTTGTGAATGGAGGATATGTGGCGCCCGATAGTCACCGAATCTGATATCCAGCGGTCCACCGGGCGTTGGGCCAGACTACCATCACGGTCGAACAGCGCGCGTACTTATCGCTTATTCCACACGATACTGTACCCAATTATCGCGCTTCTCACACGCACGACCCGACCCGACCCAATTTACCTCTTTTGCGTCTTCCCGCTCCCACCTTTTCTCCGTCGAGTACCGTTTCAGCCGTCTCGCGGCAGCAGTGCTAAATTTGTGTTTCGCGATGCGATAAAGTTATTTCAGAAATGGTGTGAAGATGTACGTTAGACAGCAGGCCCTGGCTCATTTAATTGATCTCCCATTTCTTGATCTTCATCGGCGTCATAGCTCAGTTGGGAGAGCAGCAGACTGAAGTGGAATCGTCTCCGTGGCTTGAACACGGGGGTTGATTACGTAATCTGAAGGTCCCGTGTTCAAGCCACGGTGATGCCATTCTTTTTTGCATTTTTTTTACTTACATCTTGTTTCCAAACTCCAACGTCCTTTCCTCTCTCCTTCCTGATTTAAAGGTTGAAAACTCGGCACAGCCCGTGGTCCCGTGTTCAAGCCACGGCGATGACATTTACTGGATTTTCCCTCGTCTGGTGGACCAAACCCATCCTTTTCCTTCCTAAATCCTCTTCCGAAAGGTGGGGAAATAAAGCATCAAGTCCGAAAAGGGCTCGTCGTCTCCGTGGATCGATCAAGACGCTCAGTATCAAGTATCGTGTTTAAGCCACAGTGACACCGAGGTCCAACTGAGGTCGGTGGGTGCCATTACCTTGATAAATTGACAATTATGAAACACCTCCACTTACATTACTGCAATGTCACATTGAACCGACAGCGCTATGCCTTGCTATAGAGTGCCGTACCAACGGAAGTAATTCAATACAAACCTACCACGGAGTTTGAATTCTTCCATTACGCGCTGGGAAAACGCCCAATAGTAACAATAATGGTCCGTTCTGCCATTCCCCCCCCCCTTTTCAAACAGTATGAACACACTGCGAATAGCGACAACCGCTCAGACGCTTCCGCCCGACGAATACGGTGCATCGGCCCACGACCCCGACTCTGTGCTAGTGGTCTGGCCTGTTGGAGGAGTGCTAGTACCTCTGAGCGAAGCCGAGCTGCCACCCCTTGAGTGTATGCCAGAAGGAGCACTTGAATTGGCACCTGGAACACCCGGGCTAGGTCCCAGGACACTCATGGCGGTGCTCGAGCGGCTAGGAGCGCTTGGTCGACTGCCGTGACTTGGACTCGCACCCCGCGAACCGCTCGGGCTGGCGCCTGGAGTGTTCGAGCTTGAACTCGCGCCGACCACGCTCGGGCTGGGCGCCAGCACGGTAGACATTTGGCGTACAGGATGGTTGGGCGGTGGTGGTGGTGGAAGAGGGGGAAGGGCAGTGGAGCTCGTGTTGGCACTCGAACTGGCAATTGGAATGCTCGAGCCAGCGCTTACGGCGCTCGTGGTGGCCCTCGAGTCTGAACCCAGAACACTCATCGCGGGCGCGCCGGTCCGCCCCCTAGCGCCGCGCTTCTCACTACCCGGTGTCGGAACCAGGTGTAAAGACGCGCCCACCGAGTACTGCGGGAGCTGTTGCGAATTCACATCGTGTCGGTGCGAATTGGAGTCGTGCAGCTCGACCTCAGTCAAAACATCAGACAAACCCAAGCCGGAAACATTCGTACTCGAGCCGGCACGGGACCATCCAGTCGGGCTCGGGCTCGGGTTGAGGCTCGCATGCGCATGGGAGGAGCCTGAAAGGGACGTCCCACGTGGCGTTGGGCTTGCAGAAGGCCGCCCGTGCTTCTCGTCCACCGAGGGCGGGAGCAGGAGCGCGGTCTGTGAGTGCGAGTACCCATCGTCCGTATACCTCCCCGTCCCCACAGATACCTCGCTCCCGCCGCGCGAGTGCGCCGCCCGGAACGGCGTTACCGCGCCAAGCGGCACCTGAACAGGTCCGACATCGCGATCCGCGACGACCGCACCTGTGCGCGGGTCGAGGCTAAAGCTCAGCCCCGCCAGCTTGCGCGCGAGCGTCTCATCATCGTCATACGGATAAAGCTGCTCGCCGAAGCGCGCGTGCGCCGTCATGGAGATGATGTGTGCGATGGAGCCCGGCGAAGCGGAGAGGAAGAAGCGCCGCCGCTGCCGCGAGTGCACGATGTGTAGTAAGAGCGCGGAGAGCCCGATAAGCGTGAGGATGACCGCAAGCGCGTGCGCCGGGGTGGGACTTGGAAACTGGGTTTTAGTAATATACATGGTTGCTCGATGTTGGACTCACTCGATCCAAAGGCGAGGAGCTAGGGCGGTCACTCTAGCGGGCAATTTGGATTGAGCGCTGATGAAATATATAGATTTGGCGGAAATGCTTAGATGCTGGGTCTGGAGTTTTTTGTTAGTCCTGGCAGTGAAGACATGGAGAAATACATACGAAGACTTGGAGAGTGATGTTCAGGAATCCATTTGGGTCATCGAACTTTGGTTGAACACCGCCCGTCGACTGTAACGCAAACCGGAAGATAGAGCCAGAGACACCCGCAGCGATCGAGGTCGCCCGGGCTGATACAAAAGAGTCGTTATTATTTGGGGTAAATTTAACGCTGAACGCAAATATAAGAACGAGCTCAGGAAATCAACATGAAGACCCACGCATTGTATGCTTGTCCCTTTAACGGATCCCCAGTGACGTTGTTAGAGGACGTCACACTGTCCAGTGTAGTTATAGCCGTGATGGACTTGTTGCTGAGATCAACATCCGCCATAACGTTTAATGCCTTGATCGTAGGATTGCAAAACACGCTCGCCGATTCAGGCGTTTGATCATCATCTTTGCGGTGAAAAAACCAGAACATGATTGGCATAAAATCAATCTCGTTTGAACCGCAATTTGGGACGGCCACCGTGCCATATTGAGTGCTTGCGGAAGAATCTGCAGATGGCTAGATGGTTATGTGCGTCAAGATTTCGGGGGAATGGGCCGACCTGGATTAAATGTAGCCATGCCAGCGCATCCCGCCGAATTGGTAGCTTGGATGGTGAAGTTGGGATTTCCGGGAGTGGTCGAAAGTAATGTGTTTGTCTGTGCTGCTTCACAGTTTGCCATGGTCTGTATGGCAGTGGTGTTAACAGACAGCGTGCCATTTAGTACAGCGTCCGAAGGGAACTTGACCCGGATTATTAACGCCTTTCTTTGTGGAAATGACCTGCACAGACTAACCTGGAACTCTGCGACTGCCCAACCACCGTGGACGAAAGGAGGATCCGAAAGACCGTGAAATACAGCAGCTTCCGCGTACTGTAATCATTTGAGCCAGAGAAGAGAACATTCAGGTATTGGAAACGTACCCCAGCGGCCGCCAAAAACGCGTTCAGTTCCGCGACATCAAATGTCAGGCCGATGGTTTTGGTGCTGGTGATGAAAAGTCCTGGAAGCGGCGTAAAATGGTGTGATGCACGACAATAAACAGCCTACCATCGGTTGTTTTGGGCAGCATCACCAATTGAAGGATAGAACCCGCCAAAGGCTGCAAAAAGGCTCCCAGAAGTGTAGTTGCCGTGGACAGCAAGATCAAGTAATGTCTGAATTTAACCGCAGTGGCGATAACTCCCCAAACACTAAAGAATGGCAGTGAGATGATGTCGGGTACCGTTATCGTATGCAGCTCACCTCAAACCGGACTGCGTTACGGAAACAACGCATTAACTATATGAGGCTCGCCGACATAAAAAATGTAGCTTACATAGTTGGCCAGCAATCCTTCAGCCGCCGTAACATTTCCTCGAGCGAGAACTACATAAGGCTAAACTCGATGAGAATATGTCGATACTTGTGCGATTTTTTCCAACCTGAAGTTCTCGATACGAACGGTCTGAACTTTGCCATATAATAAGTAGGCCGGCAACAAGGAACGTCGGAATGAAAGCCTGGTTAATGTCTTCTTAATATCCGTGGATTAGCAGGCAATTTCAGACGAACCGTTAGAAACCTAGGACTGATCCCGGTCAAAACATTGCGCTCGCCCACAGCGTAGCCGCCGTTCTTGTTGGATATCGCGAGAGCAACTTCCAGGGCGACCGAGAGACCTATGAGCGTGATTACGATCACGGCCACCACCCACGTTCTGAGCGTCACGGGCTTCTGTACAAAATTTAAGTTTCTTGGATTTCTTAAGTCAAGAAGCGGAATCCTCACGTAGGGCTGCGGCCCCAAGGCCCCCCGACCCAACGTATCCCGACTGGGTACATACATCGCATCGCGGTAGGTCGGTGGGTCCATCGGACGCTTAGAAGCATACGCGTCCAGCCCTAGGGTAGGTTTCGATTGTGACATTAAAGGTGGTTGTGAGCTATAAAATATTATGAAGGGGAGAAATTTGTAGGAAGAAAGAAATGGGAAGCAAGAGAAGAAACAGCGCCGAGAGGGCCCTTTCTAGCTCCCGTCGACGGCATTTCGTGGATAAACCGCGTATTCTTGCACCGTCGAACCCGAGATGGTTTGCGACAGAACATACCCCATTCAGGGGGACACCGCCACATTCGTTTTTCAAATTTGCTCACTGATCCCAGTGATCCGTCGATCGTTCAAAACTCGAAATAGCCTGGTTCTGTCCATTCCCGTGGGCTTTCGTAGATATGCGATATATATGAAACTAAGGTACGTAGCAGCGTATATGGTAGAGAAGTGTAATACTACTTAATAGTACACGAGTGCAAGGAGGTCTGTTGAAAGACAATATTCAATTAATCCATCCATAAATACAGACCATAACCGAGTCGCATCACCGCAACACCGCCAATGGGCGCCCACCCCTATTATCCCGTTGTAGTTGGGTTATTATTAGGGCGTCGGAGCGGACACAGTAACCTGCGGGACGGATATTTTTTTCCTGCCCCGCAAATCCCCCTCCGATTCTTCAACATCAACCAAAGTCGCATCGCGCGCAGCGTGTTCAGGTATATGCGACACTTCTTCTTCTGGGTCTGTGTGCAGTTCAGTCGGGAGCCTCACAAGGCTTAGGCAGGCGAGCGCAATGACGACGCTGGCGATCGATACAAAGAAGATCGCCCTGGGGAAAGTTGCGACGGTCTTGATGTATACAAGGCCGTATACCGACGGGCCAAGAATTTGACCGCTACGAAGAGTCAGCAAGGCCTAGAATAATAGAATAAAGCAGACTAACGCCAATGTCTGAACGACACTCAATGCGCCGAAAAGCTTCCCGGACTCGACGCTTCCTTGTCCCGCCATCTTCGCTGTGTAAAGTCCAAGGGCGGCACTCTGGACACCCGGAGAAAATCCGGAGCCCAAGGAAGCCAACATTGTAAAAAGTGTGAAGATAAGACCCGTTGGTGCGAATGGCATCAGTGAATAACCAACGACTTCGATCATGAGCGAAACCCGAGCGAGCCAAAGGTCAAAGAAAGCAGTATGCGGTTTGCGACT